AGAAAGACTGACTTGTGAAGTCTAGGAGCCTTCTAGGAAAGCATGGTACAGGCTCACAGTTGCATTTCATGGTTCAGTCAAATTTTGACAAGAAATTAATACCTGGCAAAGCATTCTGTTGTTATTTCTTGAACTATTACTGACCAAGATCTTACAAGAACAGAAGTTGTAATACGTTCCTTTCAGGCTTCTACTTCGCAGGATGCTTAACACTTCTGCTTAATCCATTACATGGAGTAGCAGGGCAGTGTGATAATTATCAAAAGATATAATTGTGTAATACAAATAGGGTGTAAATACTTAAAGCTACAGAAATGTCTAAGTGTCCTTCTGAACTTATACCTTAAATAGGGTAAAGTCAGCTAACTTCAAAACCTTCCCATTATACATACATAGAAATTAATATGATTTTTGCAAGAACGTACAACTTACTGTAGCACATATGACTTACTGTAGCACATACATTGGCTTATCTTCACTGTACAACTCTGTAATTAATGTTTGAAATGACCATAAGACAATTGTAGAGTAACTCCCTTCATAAATATACTCCTAGGTCTTTCTTTTCAACTGAAGTAGCAACTGAAGAAAATACACTGAGAAGACTGAGTAGTAGCGTGCACCCCACTGGGACTGATCTGCTATATGAAGCAATTAGTTCTTTAAAATGAAAACTGCTTCAAGTCAGTGCATTCAGTGAAGGTCACAGCACAGCCTTGTATGAGATTATAAAGTTGTTCTTAAAGTTTTTAATGTAAACTTTTAAGCTGTGTCCTGGATTAGTTATTGAGTTAGTGTAAACATAGGATTGTTGTATCAAAAAAACCCAAACAACCAAAACCCTCAAACCCCCAAACAACAAAAAAACCCAAAGCAAAAAGAATCTTTATGTTCTTCTCGTCTGGATTTAACAAATCCAGTCTCTACCTCTGATACCTACCTGGAAAATTAATTCTTTCAGGGATTTTGATTTGTGAGAGACAGCCATTACGCTCATTTGCTTATTTGTTTGCTCTTTATGTACTTCCTATTCTGAATATTTACAGCACAAAACTTTGGTCATTTACCAAGATTGTGTAAATGCTTCTATTTCATCACTTAATCCCTCTGATGCAAGGCAGAATTATTAGCCAATTCTTTAGCATTTTGATCTCAACAGATACTAAAATTAAACTGCTTTAATGCAGAAGCATCAATTACTCTCCTGAAGCTGTGATTTGACCTTCCCTTTCAGGCTCAGCAGCCAAGGAAGTACGAGCAGAGTAAGTTACAGATGCAGTTCTCAGGTTTGAATTTGAAGGGTAAATCTGACTTGGCAACAGATTTAGGTCATCCTGGCAGGATTGGTTACTGCTTGGCAGGAACCTTCTTTTTTATTATGTTTCCCCTGCATAAATTGCAAATATTTGAGGACCTGTTCCAAACTGAATCAGTGAAGTGGTGATATTTTATCTGACAAAAAGCTGGCACTTTTTTTAGTAAATCTAGTCACCGCTGTCACAGGCAGCATATAGGAATCCTTTCAAGAGAATTCTCAATTTTATTCTTAAATATGTATGTGTTTATCCCTTCAAATTCTCTCTGCTCTTTCCTGCTCATTGAGAAATCTTTCTCAATGTCCAGGCTTCATTTGTGGGCAGTTAATATATCTTTATGGTGTTGTCTATTAGTTAAAATCACCTATTCTTTCATCTTGGGGCACTTTTTTCAAGTGTTTCTGGTAAGGCTGTATATGTGTTTGTAGCTAGGACAAGCTCAGAATCAAATCTCTTATTAGCCTGTATTTTTCAGGCTGAAAGTAGATTTGTTTGTTCAGACTCCTTTTTTGTAAGGTCAGATGTCTGTTCCCTTGGTCATCCCACAGACACTGGTTCAGACAGATACATAGTTGGTTGGAAGTAAAG